CCACAGTGTGCTGTGTATCCAGAACACACTTGGCAGATGGAGGAAGCATCTGAGATTAAGACCATGGCTGTTACAGGGATCGTGTAAACTTGTTTTTGTTTTTTTCTGCCGGGTGTTGTATGTATGGTGACTTGTGGATTTATGTTTCAGCGTACTGGAAACTTTCCATTTTATTCAAGAAATCTGTTCATGTTATAAACCTTGATTAAAGAGGAAGTTTTTATAATCTAATGCTGTCATTGTAAGGTTTTTTTTCTCCTCACTCAGGGTGAGCATCATCAATATCATGGTTCTAATGATAGGCCCTTCAGTTTGATAATGAAGCCCAGCTCTTTGCTGATAATGAGGTTTTTTTTTTTTTTTTTTTTTTTTTTTTTTTTTGAGACGGAGTTTTTTTTGCTCTTGTTACCCAGGCTGGAGTGCAATGGCGCGATCTCAGCTCACCGCAACCTCCGCCTCCTGGGTTCAGGCAATTCTCCTGCCTCAGCCTCCCGAGTAGCTGGGATTACAGGCACGCGCCACCATGCCCAGCTAATTTTTTGTATTTTTAGTAGAGACGGGGTTTCACCATGTTGACCAGGATGGTCTCGATCTCTCGACCTCGTGATCCACCCGCCTCGGCCTCCCAAAGTGCTGGGATTACAGGCTTGAGCCACCGCGCCCGGCCTTTGATAATGAGGTATTTTAACATTCAGGTCAGTGGGTTTTTTTTTTGTTTGTTTGTTTGTTTGTTTGTTTGTTTTTTGAGACAGAGTTTCGCTCTTGTTACCCAGGCTGGAGTGCAATGGCGCGATCTCAGCTCTCCGCAACCTCCGCCTCCTGGGTTCAGGCAATTCTCCTGCCTCAGCCTCCTGAGTAGCTGGAATTACAGGCACGCGCCACCATGCCCAGCTAATTTTTTGTATTTTTAGTAGAGACGGGGTTTCACTATGTTGACCAGGATGGTCTCGATCTCTTGACCTCGTGACCCACCCGCCTCGGCCTCCCAAAGTGCTGGGATTACAGGCTTGAGCCACCGTGCCCGGCCAGGTCAGTGGTTTTTACATCTACTGTAAGCAGACTTGCTGTCAAACATCTACTGAAATATATTTCACTGTAACTACTAGCTTGAGGTAGAGGTTATATAGGGACAACCTCATGTCATCCAAACAAATGAACTGCTCCCTACAGTCAGGGTGCTGCCTTTAACATAGTCCCAATATTTGAATGGCACACACGGGTAAAAGGAGGCTGTCAGTCAGGAGCTGCCTGTGTGTCCCAATTCCTAATAGGAATAATAGGCACACCTATGACCTAGTCACTATGCTCCCTGGTTGAGGGAGGTTTTCAGCTGTTCTGAACTTTGGTTGGGCATTGGAATCACCTGGGAAGCTTTACAGGCACTGCCTGAGTGATTCCTAAGGATTGTTAATTGGTCTGGAGTATGGACTAGGGGTAAAGATTTCTGGCATCTTATGCAGGTAGTTAAAGAACAAAGCTTTGAGAAAACAGGTGCAAAATGTGGCTGTTTAAGAAAACATTCTAGGCCGGGTGCGGTGGCTCAAGCCTGTAATCCCAGCACTTTGGGAGGCCGAGGCGGGTGGATCACGAGGTCAAGAGATCGAGAGCATCCTGGTCAACATGGTGAAACCCCGTCTCTACTAAAAATACTAAAAATTAGCTGGGCATGGTGGCGTGTGCCTGTAATCCCAACTACTCAGGAGGCTGACGTAGAATTGCCTGAACCCAGGAGGCGGAGGTTGCGGTGAGCCGAGATCGCGCCATTGCACTCCAGCCTGGGTAACAAGAGCGAAACTGTCTAAAAAAAAAAAAAAAAAGAAAAAAGAAAACATTCTAGGCGGGTGTGGTGACTCACTCCTATAATCCCAGCACTTAGGAGGCTGAGGTGGGCAGATCACCTGAGGTCAGGAGTTCGAGACCAGCCTGGGCAACTTGGTGAAACCCCATCTCTACTAAAAATACAAACATTAGGCCAGGCGTGGTGGCTCACACCTGTAATCCCAGCACTTTGGGAGGCTGAGGTGGGTGGATCACCTGAGGTCAGGAGTTCATAACCAGCCTGGCCAATATGGTGAAATCCCATCTCTACTAAAAATACAGAATTAGTGCATGTGGTGGCGCATGCCTATAATCCCAGCTACTTGGGAGGCTGAGGCAGGAGTGTCGCTTGAACCTGGGAGGCAGAGGATGCAGCACTGGGCCAAGATTGCACCACTGCACTCCAGCTTGGGCAACAAAAGCAGAAACTCATCTCAAAAAAAGGAGCTGGAAGCGGTGGCTCACTCCTGTAATCCCAGCACTTTGGGAGGCTGAGGTGGGCGGATCACCAGGTTAGGAGATCGAGACCATCCTAGCCAACAAGGTGAAACCCTGTCTACTAAAATACAAAATTTTAGTGTTCAAGCGATTCTCCTGCCTCAGCCTCCCTAGTAGCTAGGACTACAGGTGCCTGCCACCTCACCCAGCAAAATTTTGTATTTTTAGTAGAGACAGGGTTTCACCATATTAGCCAGGCTGGTCTCCTGACCTTGTGATTCACCCACCTTGGGCTCCCAAAATGCTGGAATTACAGGCATGAGCGACCGTGTCTGGCTGTCAAAGAGCTGAGTTTTTTAATAACTGAAAGAAATGAGGGCCAAGTAGAGGGGTTCACACCTGTAATCCCAATACTTTGGGAGGCCAAGGCAGGGAATCACTTGAGCCCAGGAATTCAAGACCAGTCGGCAAAACATGATGAAACGCCGTCTCTACTAAAAATACAAAAATTAGCCAGGTATGGTGGGGTGCCCCTGTGGTCTCAGCTACTCTGGAGTCTGAGGTGGGAGGATTAGGCCGGGTGTGGTGGCTCACACCTGTAATCCCAGCATCGCGGTGAAGAGTGTTTGTGCCACTGCATTCCAGCCTGGGCAAGAGAGACTCTGTTTCAAAAAAAAAAGGGGGGGGGGCTTATTACTTGAAAGAATGGTCTAGACGCCTGACTCTACCATTCACTGTGTTTTGTGGTTGTGTGGCATCCCTTTGCCTCTCTGAGCCTGTTCCTCATCTGTAAAATGAGCATATGTGTATCTCAGGGGGGTTTTTTGTTTGTTTTTTGAGACAGAAGTTTGCTCTTGTTGTCCAGGCTGGAGTGCAATGGTGCAATCCCAGCTCACTGCAACCTCCGCCTCCTGGGTTCAAGCAATTCTCCTGCCTCAGCCTCCTGAGTAGCTGGATTGCAGGCACCTGCTGTCACACCCAGCTAACTTTTTGTATTTTTAGTAGAGACAGGATTTCATGATGTTGGCCAGGCTGGTCTCGAACTCTTGACTCAGGTGATCAACCCAGCTGGACCTCCCAAAGTGCTGGGATTACAGGCACAAGCCACTGCGCCCAGCCCTAGTTTTTTGTTCTTTTAACAGGTGGAATCTATGTTGCCCAGGTCCTTGATCTTGAACTCCTGAGCTCAAGCATTCATCCCTCCTCCAACTCCCAAAGTGCTGCACCCAACCAAGGGTTTTTAAGAGTAAAATGTGAGGACTGGGAAGAGCGGCTCAGGCCTGTAATCCCAGCACTTTGGGAGGCCTAGGCGGGCAGATCACCTGAGATCGGAAGTTCAACACCAACCTGACCAAAGTGGAGAAACCCCCTCTCTACTAAAAATGCAAAATTAGCCAGGCATGATGGCGCATGAGGGAGGGGAATTGCTTGAACCCTGGAGGTGGAGGTTGTGGTAAACCGAGATCTTGCCATTGCACTCCAGCCTGGGCAACAAGAACTAAACTACGTCTCAAAAAAAAGAGTAAAATGTGGCCAGGTGTGGTTTAGCAGTCTTCCAAAGAATGAATTTAGGCCCTTACTATTCAAAATGTAATCCACAGAGCAGTGGCATCATCACCTCGTGGGAACTAGCTAAATGTACATCTCAATCCCCACCCAAACCTGCTGAATCAATCTGCATATTAAAAGATCCCCAGGGCCGGCCGTGGTGGCTCAGGCTGGTAATCCCAGCACTTTGGGAGGCCGAGACCGGCGGATCACCTGAGATTAGGAGTTCGAGACCAGCCTAGCCAACAAGGAGAAACCCCATCGCCACTAAAAATACAAAAAAAATTAGCTGGCGTTGTGGCGGTCAGCTATAATCCCAGCTACTTGGGAGGCTAAGGTAAGAAAATTGCTTAAACCCACGAGTCCGAGGTTGCGCCACTGCACTCCAGCCTGGGACAGTGCATGACTGTGTCTCAAAAAACAAACAAAAAACAGATTATTGGTGGAAAAAAGTTTAAGATGCACTTTTAGACCAAAGGCAACTGAAATGGGGGTAAGCTCGGATGATATGAGAATCCAGAGTAAGCATGGAAGGCATTCCCTATGCGTTGTCTCATTTGCACCAAGACCAACAACGGGAAAAGATGACATTTGAACTAAGCACCATCTACAGCAAGGTGGAGGAAGAGAAGGTTTTTGGACTCTTAGTTGTCAAAGAGGTTTAATTAGTTTTGTCTATTATACTAGAGATAAATGAAGGTTCCACACATCTAAGCTCACCTACTCCGGGGTCTTCATACCCGACAGACAAAAGGTAATCATCTTTTTCGGTATCCCTCCAACTTCCTTCTGCTACAAATTAAGATCCTTGCTCACTCCAGTAAAAGCCCTTAGACTTAAACCCTGGCTAACTGACCCATTAAACAAAACAAAAACAGCATATGCATAATAATTCGAATCTAGCACCAGAAACACCCCGAGAGCCTTACAGCACCTCCAACCAAGGCTCCTTTCGCGCCCTAAACTCCCAAAGTGCCGCCCCCGACCTTAGGCTAAGCTCCGGCCCCCGCATTTCCGGGCAGAGAGTGACCACGTGGTTGTCTCTTGTAACAATCCAGCCCTGCTTCCACCCACTGGCTGAAGCCCGAGAACGACAGTAGAATACACCAATAGGACCCTGAAAGAGTCTAAGCGACAGCCTTTTGACCACTCAATGTCAGCTAGGTGTGAGTAAGGCGGGACTTTAAGTACGGAAGCTGCCCCGGGACATGAAAAAAGGAACACGGGGAAAGACCCGGTGAAGGGGCAGAACAGGCAGGTGAGAGCCTGAAGAGCTCAGTAATCTGAAGCTTGGTGGGAAGAAGGGATTCTGGGCTAGAAAGGGTGCAGAAGCCTGAAGTAGAAAGAGACAGGATTTTGGTCCGGGGTGGAGAGAGGGAGTGCATTAAAAAGGGCCAAGGCCCACGATAAGGTAGACATTTAAAAGGGCAGATGCCCCGAAAAAACATTTGAAAGGGTACAGATGCCCAAGACAGAGCAGACGCTTGAGGAGACCAGCTCGGCAAACGGAAGACATTTAAAGTGGTAGGTTTCCAGGAGAAAAGGAGTTTTTAAGACTAGAGCTAAGCTTAGAAGACATTTAAAAAGGCATGGGTTGGGATTTGGGAACACGTTTTTTAAAGAGGCAGGAATAAAGGAGTCGCTTGTCAAGGATCTGGTTAGAGAAGACTGAGGGTCTTCCTCTAAGGAGGAACGTGCGCGCCCGCTCTCCCCCATTGTTCCTTCTGGCTCCTCCAGGTTCCCTCGACCCAGGACCCCCCGTTCCTAGGCTATGGCCCCCAGTGTCCTGTAGACCTGGCGGGCCCCCCGTGCTTGCGACCCCTAATTGGGGGTCTGGGCGGCTACTGGAGGGTCTTGCAGAGAGGCAGAGAAGGCAGGACCATGACATCTAGGGCCTCTGAACTTTCCCCGGGGCGCAGCGTGACGGCTGGCATCATCATTGTTGGAGATGAGATCCTTAAGGTGTGTCTGGGACAGAAGTCGGGGGAGGGTACAGCGTTCTCTTCTCCTTAAGGGCCTGCTGCACATCCCTCCATGAAGGGAGGTGAAACGGGACGGGGCGGGGAGGGGGGCTTGCTCCGTTAGGATCCTGGAGTGAATCCAATAAGAAGAAAATTAGCCCTCGTTCTTTCAATTACTTTACTGATGAACTTGTAGCAAAGTCTCTACAGTTCTTCAATCTGAGAGAGCTGAATGAAAAAAAAAAAAAAAGGTCATTGCAATTTACCAAGCAGTATGGTAGAGGGCGGAGGGGCTGCACAACAATGACAGGAAGCCCCTCGAGTAGAGGAGGTACCGGTGTATGTACTGCAGACTTAAGAGTTTTACCCAGCCTTTTTGGAAATGACTCAAGGTACTCAGCATAGTGCATAAGTGAGCCAGAAGGGAGGAATCCCTTCTGAATTCTCAGAAAGGCTTACTAGAGGACATAGCAGATGACAGAGTTTGTTTTGGAGACAGGATTTTGCTCTGTCGCCTAGGTTCGAGTGCCATGGCACAATCACAGCTCACTGCAGTCCCCATCTTCCAGGCTCAAGCAATCCTGCCTCAGCCTGTGGAGTAGCTGTGACTACAAGTGTGAGCCACCACACCCGGCTAAATTTTTTTTTTTCCGGGGGCGGGGGTGGTGGGGGTGGAGCAGAAAAAGGGTCTAACTATGTTGTTGCCCAGGCTAGTCTGAAACTCCTGGGCTCAAGCAATCCTCCTACCTTGTCCTCCCAAAGTGCTGGGATTACAAGCATGAACCACCGAGCTTGGCCAAATGTCAAGTTTTAACAGTAATTTTTAAAAATATTTTTTGTAAATTGGTCTTTTTTTTTTTTTTTTTTTTTTTTTTTTGACATAGAGTCTCACTCTGCTGCCCAGGCTGGAGTGCAGTGGTGGGATCTCAGCTGACGCCTCTTGCATTCAAGCAGTTCTCATGCTGGGATTACGGGTGTGAGCCACTGCACTCAGCCTTAATAGACATCTTTTTTTTTTTTTTTTTTTTTTTTTTTTTTGACAGAGTCTTGCTCTGTTGCCCAGGCTGGAGTGCAGTGGCGTGATCCATCTTGGCTTACTGCAACCTCCGCCTCCCAGGTTCAAGCAGTTCTTCTTCCTCAACCTCCTGAGTAGCTGGAACTACAGGCATGCGCCACCACACCTAATTTTTTGTATCTTTAGCAGAGACGGGGTTTTGCCATGTTGGCCAGGCTGGTCTTGAACTTCTTACCTCAAGTGATCCACCCACCTCAGCCTCCCAAAATGTTGGGATTACAGGCGTGAGCCACTGCACCTGGCTCTGACCCCTACATTTTTTTTTTTTTTTTTTTTTGAGACTGAGTTTCGCTCTTGTTACCCAGGCTGGAGTGCAATGGCGCAATCTCGGCTCACCGCAACCTCCGCCTCCTGGGCTCAGGCCATTCTCCTGCCTCAGCCTCCTGAGTAGCTGGGATTATAGGCACGCGCCACCATGCCCAGCTAATTTTTTATATTTTTAGTAGAGACGGGGTTTCACCATGTTGACCAGGATGGTCTCGATCTCTCGATCTCGTGATCCACCCGCCTCGGGCTCCCAAAGTGCTGGGATTACAGGCTTGAGCCACCGCGCCCGGCCTGACCCCTACATTTTAAGTGGCTACTAGGGCCTGGCAGTGTGCCTTACATCACAAATATGTGATTTTACTAATCCTCACAACAACCCACAATGTTGGCACTTTTTTTCTTTTTTAAATTTTTATTTTATTGTTTGTTTTATTAATGAGGTTCTCACTAGGTTAACCAGGCCAGCCTCAAGCAATTTTCCTGCCTCAGCCTCCCAAAGTGATGGGATTACAGGCATGAGCCACTTTGTCCAGCTCTTTTTTTTTTTTTTTTTGAGACAAAAGTCTCACTCTTGTCGCCCAGGCTAGAGCTAATTTTTTGGGGTTTTTTTGTAGACACAGGTTATGCCAGATGCCCAGGCTGGTTTCGAACTCCTAGGCTCAAGCATTCCTCCCACCTCACCCTCCCAAAATGCTCGAATTACAGGCGTGAGCCACCACACCTAGTCGGCAAAAAATCCGAATTAATGATGAAACTGAGGGTCAGAGAGGTTGAGAAACCTGCCCAGGGTTACCTAGGAAGTTGCAGAGACGGGATTCCAGCCTGATGACTGATTCTCCCTTACTCCAAAATACAGGCCCTTTTTTTCTTTGGTGACAGGGTCTCTGTCACCCAGGCTGGAGTGCAGTGGCATGATCTCAGCTCACTGCAATCTCTGCCTCCTGGGCTCAAGCAATCCACCCACTTCAGCCTCCCTAATAGCTGGGACTGCAGGCGTGCGCCACCATGCCCAGCTAATTTTTGTATTTTTTTGTAGAGATGGGAGTTTCACCATATTGTGTAGGTTGGTCTTGAACTTCTGAGCTCAAGCAAGGCATCCCCTTCAGCCTCCCAAAGGGCTGGAATTACAGGCATGCGCCACCACACCCAGCCATCAGAACACAGACCCTTAAGGACTAAATCCTTTGTAGAGAATTAGAAGGAGATGGGGCTGGAAAAGAAGATAGGATATACACCACAGACAGCCCCAAATACTCTGCAAAGGAATTTGAACTTTCTTCTGTTTACGGTTGGAAACAACAAATAGCTTTTGAGCCCAAGAGTGATGCAATCACAGTGACGCATTAAAAAGGTTACACAGGAGGCAGAGCAGAGCACTGTGGCTGGAGGCTGGGAGCCTGGCCAGGAAGCTGTTCACCATTGTCTAGGTAAAAGGTACTGAGGACCTGCTTGGTGGCAGTGGGGACAGAAAGAAGAAAGCAGGCTGGGCATGGAGACTCACGCGTGTAATCCCAGCACTTTGGGAGGCTGAGGTGGGAGGATCACTTGAGACTAGAAGTTCAAGACCAGCCTGGGCAACATAGTGAGTCCCCATTTCTACAAAAAAAAATCAAAAATTAGCTGAGTGTGGTGACAGACACCTGTAGCCCCCGCTACCTGGAAGGCTGAGCTGGCCCTTGAGCTCAGGAGGTTGAGGCTGCAGTGAGCTGTGATTGAGCCACTGTACTCCCGCCTGGGTAACAGACCCAGCCTTAAAAACAAAGCAGTGGATTTTCCCACTCTCTTGTCCAGTCCAAAGAGCAGAGCACTGCATCATCAGGCAGATGCAGCTGTCATCGCCAACCTCCTCCCCTTCATCCCTGCAGTACTGACGGCCCCATCCTGTTCAACCCCCAGGGACACACTCAGGACACCAACACCTACTTTCTGTGCCGGACGCTGCGCTCCCTAGGGGTCCAGGTTTGCCGAGTCTCAGTTGTACCTGATGAGGTAGCCACCATTGCAGCTGAGGTCACCTCTTTCTCCAGCCGCTTCACCCACGTCCTCACAGCAGGCGGCATCGGCCCCACTCATGATGATGTGACCTTCGAGGCAGTGGCACAAGCCTTTGGAGATGAGCTGAAGCCACACCCTGAGCTGGAAGCAGCCACCAAAGCCCTGGGAGGAGAAGGCTGGGAGAAGCTGTCACTGGTGCCCTCCTCTGCCCGCCTGCATTACGGCACAGATCCTCACACGGGTCACCCCTTCAGATTCCCGCTGGTCTCCGTCCGAAATGTCTACCTCTTCCCAGGCATTCCAGAGCTGCTGCGGCGGGTGCTGGAGGGGCTGAAGGGACTGTTCCAAAACCCAGCTGTTCAGTTCCACTCGAAGGAGCTGTATGTGGCTGCTGATGAAGCCTCCATCGCCCCCATTCTTGCTGAGGCCCAGGCCCACTTTGGACGTAGGCTTGGCCTGGGTTCCTACCCTGACTGGGGCAGCAACTACTATCAGGTGAAACTGACTCTAGACTCAGAGGAAGAAGGACCCCTGGAGGAATGCCTGGCTTACCTGACTGCTCGTTTGCCCCAGGGATCGCTGGTCCCCTACATGCCCAACGCCGTGGAGCGGGCCGGTGAGGCCGTATACAAGCTCGCTGAATCAGGTAGGGACCTCGTGGACGAGGGGCGGTATGCACAATGCCATTGGTGCCACCCCAGCTCTCAGTAATGCCAGGGCTGCTGGGTGCTTCCTGCACATCCCAGAGAGGGCAGAAGACAGCTAGTGTTGATTCATTAATTCTTCCAGTAAATGTTGACTGAGTACCTACTTTCATCAGCACTGTGCTAGGTGTTGGGGATATGGTTCAGTAGGCTAATGTATGCCCTGCTCTTATGGACCAGGGTTTTAACAAGAAAGATGGATACTAAACAGGTGATTCAGCATGGGGGGATGAAGGGAGTGATCTCCCACAGCAGGAAGATGAGCCTTTATCTGGGGTCAGAGAAGGCCAAATGACATAAACAGAGGGTTAAGGAGGATTTGGTCAGACCAGTAGGTGGGCCAGAGCAAAAAGTATGAATGAGGGCCTGACAGGAAGCAGCATGGGGTGTAGGGGAATGGAAGGAAGCCCGTACCCCACTCCCCCTCCCGTGGAGGAATGACATTGAGGCTACCGTGAGGTGTAGCTGGGTGGCAGATGGCAGGTCAGGGGCAGACTCTGCAGAGCCTAGTGGGCAGCATGGAGTTTGGACTTTATTCTAGGAATCCCGGGAAGATACCAAAGGGTTTTAAGCAAGGGCAGCATGCCTCCACTCCCCTTTGATGGCCGTATGTGTCCATCTGATGCCCTCTTCCCTGCCTGCTTGGCAGGGTCTTCTCTGGGGAAAAAGGTGGCAGGTGCCCTGCAGACCATTGAGACCGCCCTGGCTCAGTACAGCCTCACCCAGCTCTGTGTGGGCTTCAACGGGGGCAAAGACTGTACCGCCCTTCTGCACCTCTTCCATGCAGCTGTGCAGAGGTGAGCCTGCTCCCTGGGAGACAAGACCCCTGATCTGTCTGTTTCTCCAGTTCCACATCCCAGAAAGCAAGGATAAAGGGGGTGGATGGGTGGGGTTCAGGAGGGAGATAGCCATGGTGACCTCTCAGTTACATTCTCCCACCATATTGAGCGTATGATACGTGCCTGGCCTTGTGTATGGATGTGCAGGCCACCATCCCTGACCACGGGGAGATCACAGTCCCGCTGGAGAGATGAGAGATTTACATACCTGAAACAAGGATGCATGCTTAGATTTCAGAGGTGAGAGGTCAAGCGCCAGGCACGGTGGCTCATGCCTATAATCTGCCGGGCATGGTGGCGCGTTCCTGTAGTCCCAGCTGCTCGGGAGGCTGAGGCTGGAGGATCGCTTGAGCCCAGGAGTTCTGGGCTGTAGTGCGCTATGCCAATCGGGTGTCCACACTAAGTTTGGCAGGTTGCCTAAGGAGGAGTGAACCAGCCCAGGTTGGAAACGGAGCAGGTCAAAACTCCCATGCTGATCAGCAGTGGGATTGCACCTGTGAATAGCCACTGCACTCCAGCCTGGGCAACACAGTGAGACCCCGTATCTTTAAAAAAAAAAAAAGTGAGAGGTCAGAGTGGGCTTCCCAGAGGAAGTGGATCTAATAGATGGAAAGGACAAGGAAAAGGGAGAAGTGGGGTGAGTCTGTTCTTGGGACCAAAGAGAACAGTGAACTGTTTCGGGAGAGCCATTTCCCTATCCATGCTGGCAAGCCTGTGGATTCTTCCCCCTCCGCAGGAAATTACCTGATGTTCCAGACCCCCTCCAGATCCTGTATATCCGCAGCATCTCCACTTTCCCTGAGCTAGAACAATTTCTACAGGACACCATCAGGAGGTACTAGGGGCCTGGAGGTTTGGGCTCCAAGAGAGGCTGAACAGAGCCCACTCCTGACCCCTACTTCTGTTTCTTCCTAAGGTACAATCTGCAGGTGTTGGAGGCTGAGGGCAGCATGAAGCAGGCCCTGGGTGAACTGCAGGCACGGTATCCCCAGCTAGAGGCTGTCCTGATGGGCACCCGCCGGACTGACCCCTACTCCTGTAGCCTCTGCCCTTTCAGCCCCACCGACCCAGGCTGGCCGTCATTCATGCGCATCAACCCGCTGCTGGTAACGGGGAAGAAGGTGTATCGCCTTCGGTTTCTCACCCATCAGTCACTGCACCCTGGCTTCCCTGCAGTAGTGGGGAGGCTGGAGCCTGGAACTTGGATGGAGGGGCCCCATCATCCAAGGGAGGTGATGCTGTCTCTTCATTCATCCTTTTTTTTTTTTTTTTTTTTTTTGAGACGGAGTTTCGCTCTCGTTACCCAGGCTGGAGTGCAATGGCGCGATCTCGGCTCACCGCAACCTCCGCCTCCTGGGCTCAGGCAATTCTCCTGCCTCAGCCTCCTGAGTAGCTGGGATTACAGGCACACGGCACCATGCCCAGCTAATTTTTTGTATTTTTAGTAGAGATGAGGTTTCACCACGTTGACCAGGATGGTCTTGATCCCTTGACCTCGTGATCCACCCGCCTCAGCCTCCCAAAGTGCTGGGATTACAGGCTTGAGCCACCGCGCCCGGCCTATTCATCCTTTTGACCAATATTTATTGAGCCCAAATTCAGTAGCAGGCATTGTGTCTTCAATGTGGACAGAAGAGTGACTTATACCTGTGCTGTCCAATGTAGCCACTAATTATTTATACTTAAATTTTAATTAGTTAAAATGAAATACATATGCCTAAAAACCACTGAATTATATACTTTAAAAGGATGAATCTGATGGCATGTGGATACCTCAATTTTTTAAATTAAGTACAGTTAAAAATTCAGTTCTGGCTGGGCCTGGTGGCTCACGCCTATAATGCCAGCATTGTGGGAGGCCAAGGTGGGCTAATCACTTGAGCCAAAGAGGTCAAGACCAGCCTGGCCAACATGGCAAAACCCTATCTCTGCTAAAAATACAAAATACTATCCAGGCATGGTGGCACCTGCCTGTAGTCCCAGCTACTTGGGAAGCTGAGGCAGGAAGATTGCTTGAACCCAGGAGTCAGAGGTTGCAGTGAGCCGAGATCGCGCCATTGCACTCCAGCCTCAGCGACAGAACGACACTCTGTCTCAAAATAATAATAGTAACACAGGCCAGGCATGGTGGCTCACTCCTGTAATCCCTGCACTTTGGGAGGCCGAGGTGGGCCAACTGCCTGAGGTCAGGACATCGAGACCAGCCTGACTAACGTGGTGAAACCCCACATCTACTAAAAATACTAAAATTAACCAGGTGTGGTGGCAGGCACCTGTAATCCCAGCTACTCGGGAGGCTGAGGCAGAAGAGTCACTTGAACCTCTGGGTCAGAGGTTGCAGTGAGCCTACATGGCACCATTCTACTGCAGCCTGGGCAACAGAGAGACTCCGCCTCAAAAAAAAAAATAGTTATTTAGTTGTACTAGCCATATTTCAAGTGACCACCATATTAGACTATTAGCAGAAATATAGAACATTTCCACATCACAGAAAGTTCTGGCCAGGCACAGTGAGTGGCTCACTCCTGTAATCCCAGCACTTTAGGAGGCTGAGGTGGGCTAACCACTTGAGCCCAGGAGTTTAAGATCAGCCTAGTCAACATGGCAAAATCCTGCCTCATTAAAAAAAAAAAAAAAAAAAAAAAAAAAAAAAAAGCCAGGAGTGGTGGCACACGCCTGTAGTCCTAGCTACTCAGGCTGAGGCAGGAAGATCACTGGAGCCAGGGAAGTCAAGGCTGCAGTGAGCCATGCTTATGCCAGTGCCCTCCAGCCTGGGCAACAGAAAAGACCCTGTCTCAAAAAAAAAAAAATGAAATAAAGTGGACAGACATGGTCTCTCCCTGTCCTGGAGCTCCACCTTTGCAGTAGAGGGTGATTCGGGAATGGAAAGCAGAGAGTGGAGAAGATGAAGTCCCTCTCTTTTCTCTTTGCATATTCGGAGCAAGCTATACCAGGGAATCAGACAGCAAGCCCTCCCTCAGAAGCCAAGGGAGCAGACCAGCCGTGGTGGCTCACGCCTGTAATCCTAACACTTTGGGAGGCCGAGGTGGGTGGATCACCCGACGTCGGGAGTTCAAAACCAGTCTGGCTGTCATGGTGAAACCTCATTTTTTTTTTTTTTTTTTTTTTTTTGAGACGGAGTTTCGCTCTCGTTACCCAGGCTGGAGTGCAATGGCGCGATCTCGGCTCACCGCAACCTCCGCCTCCTGGGTTCAGGCAATTCTCCTGCCTCAGCCTCCTGAGTAGCTGGGATTACAGGCACGCGCCACCATGCCCAGCTAATTTTTTTGTATTTTTAGTAGAGACTGGGGTTTCACCATGTTGACCAGGATGGTCTCGATCTCTCGACCTCGTGATCCCCCCGCCTCGGCCTCCCAAAGTGCTGGGATTACAGGCTTGAGCCACCGCGCCCGGCCTTTTTTTTTTTTTTTTTTTTTTTTTGTATAAAGATGGGGTTTCACCATATTGGTCAGGCTGGTCTCAAACTTCTGACCTCAGGTGATCCGCCTGCCTCAGCCTCCCAAAGTGCTGGGATTACAGGCGTGAGCCAGAGTGCCCAGCAAAACTCCATCTTTTAAAAAAAAAAAAAAAAAGCCAAGGGAGCAGAAGAGCCTTGGATGGGCCCCTTCCCAGGACAGCAGGGGTAGAAGTGGGAGAGGGGAGCATTTGTGACTATTCCATTACTCTGACCTCCCAGGACTGGACCTACAGAGACATCTGGGACTTTCTTCGTCAGCTCTTCGTCCCATACTGTATCCTGTATGACCGAGGGTAAGGGTATTAGGGGAAGAGAATGGGTATGGGGGTTTGTTAGGGTGCTAGGATAGGGAGGGCGACTAGGATCGCCCACCCTAGCACATGCTTGCCCTCCGCCCTCCCTGCTCCAGATACACATCGCTGGGGAGTCGGGAGAACACCGTGCGGAACCCGGCCCTGAAGTGCCAGAGCCCAGGAGGACGCCTCACCTACCGTCCAGCCTACCTACTGGAGAACGAAGAAGAGGAGCGGAACTCCCGCACATGACCGCCCACCCTAGGAGGGAGGGGAGGAGGCTCTCCTAGGGTGTAACCTGACAATAAACCGTGCCTCTCACTGTGTCTGTGGCTCTAGCTTGTGTCTTCCTGTTCCAGAGGATGGGAGAAGCAGAAGTGGGTCAAATGCTGCCAGCTGTGACTGGCTGTGCTCACTCTAAGGGGCCCAGGGGCAGGGCAGAACAGGTTGGAAAGAGCTCTCACTGATGGTTATCAATGTCAGCCTTAGCAGGAGCCCGCCAGAGGGCAGAAGCAGGAGTTGTGCCAACCACTGGAAAAGGGGCAACCAGGCAGGGCACTACCGGGCCTCAAAGAGGGGAAGCTGCCTTGGCCTAGCTGTGAAATGAAAGATGGAGTGGCCAGGCCTTCCCTTCCGCTAACCCCACCCTCCCATCCCTGTCTAGAGAGGCTGACTCAGCCTGTTCCCAGGCCTAGAACCTTCCCTTTGCTAGACCCTGGATCCTTTGTCTCTGTAGTCATGAGGCTGAGTGGGGGGTAGGGACGGTGTTGATAAAAGGCACCAAAGGCAGCTCCCACACCCTTCCTCAGAACTGCTGCCCACATGCAGCCCCGGACACAGCCCCTTGCCCAAACCCTACCCTTCTCCCTCCGAGGGGCCCCTCAAGACACTGGGCTGCGGGTGCCTGTCATTAAGATGGGCACAGGGTGGGAGGGCTTCCAGCGGATCCTGAAGGAAGTCGCCTACATCCTCCTCTGCTGCTGGTGTGTCAAGGAACTGCTGGATTAATGGTGGCAGGGAACTGCCTCCTCTCCCCACCAGCACCATGGCTGGCATCGCTCAGGTGGGCTGGGTAAACAGGAGGCATAGCTGCAGCTTCTGTGGCAGAGCTTGCCTCAGCTTCCCGTTCTCTTCTTTAGCCCTCAGCCCAACTGCCATCAAGACTTCTGGGGCCAGCGGTGCTTGACCAAGAATGGGCCGTAAACAATGAGTGGTGACGTGTGGATCCTGCTTTGAGCTGTGTCATCTGGTCGACCTGCCTCATCTCTGAGCCTCCCTTCCCAACCCCTGCCTTGGTGGACCTCTGGTGGGCAGGAGCTTGGACTGCTCTGGCTAGACCCCACTGAGATGGCCACGGGACCTGGCACTCCTCCAAGCTTGGCACAGTGAGCCCACCAGCTCAGATGGTTGATGTTACCATACCCTCATAGTACCAAGAATGGACTGCCCCCCCCTAAGATATCTGTATGAGAATCACTGAATTATAAATATAATCCATAGGCCTTGAGGCCCAAGATTCTAAATACCTAAAGGGGAATCAGAAAAAGTCAGCACTAGAAGGGTCTGGGAGCCAGGGTGCAGAACAGAGAGGGAAGGAGCTTGTCTTGAATAGAACCGAGATTGAAAGCCAGGTTTTCTGACTCTGGTTCCTGGGTGGGGAGGGTGGAAGACAGTCCAGGTTCCTTTCAATCTGTGGGTAGGGAGGGGACCCAGCTTGAGTAGGATCTTCATCTGTGAGGCCAAGGGAGTATGGAAACCCAAAGGACCCAGCCTTTCCCAAATAGAAGACCTGATCCAGGCAGCTTCCTGCCTCTGAGGATCTTGAGGAAAGCACTGAGCTGAGAATAGTCCCCAGCTCATCAAGGAAGCAGAAGCCCATGAGCTACAAGAGCTCCCAGCTCACATGCAAAGAGAGAAAGGTACTTGTGTGGCCACACAGGTCCCTTAGGCTTATAACGGCACAGCCCTATCAGGACATAAACAGCTAGATTGAGCAGAATTGGCTCTTCACTTCCCCTTGGTGGCTATAGCTGGTGTTTTCCCTGAGTGGTAGCTATCTCCCAGTGGTAGATATATGTCAGCTGTGTGTCTTGTCTTGCTCATGGGGTGCTTAGGCTTACTGATGTGCCCACCCACAGCCCCCAAAACCGCAGGGCCAGCCATGGGACTTGTTCAACATTGCCGCGGGATCTCCATCCAGCATTCCCTGGCCCCTCTTGGGACCCAGTTATCATCCCCCACCCCTCTGTCACCTGGGGCACTGGCCTGGAGATGGTAGATAGGGCCCTCTTCCTCCCTTCCTGGGACCAGCTCTTACTCAGTCTTCTTCATAGTTAACTCTTTTTTTTTTTTTTTTCTAGATTCTTTTCGTAAAGGTGATATATGCCTAGAGTAAAGAACTCTAGGCTGGGCATGGTGGCTTATGCCTGTAATCCCAACACTTTGGGAGGCAGAGGCGGGAGGATCACGAGAGGTCAGGTGTTCTAGACCAGCCTGGCCAACATGGTGAAACTCTGTCTCTACTAAAAATACAAAAATTAGCTGGGTGTGGTGGCATGTGCCTGTAATCCCAGCTACTTGGGAGGCTGAGGCAGGAGAATCACTTGAACCTGGGAGGCAGAGGTTGCAGTGAGCCAAGATCACACCATTGCACTCCAGCCTGGGCAACAAGAGTGAAACTCCATCTCAAAAGAAAGAACTCTAATAGTTAAAAGTGTCTCAACATCTATCCCCCAATCCCTTAGTGCTCCCCCTGGAGGCAACCATGGTTACCAGTTTCTTGGAGAACATTCCAGTCTATGCATAGACTGCATCTTTCATTCTTTTTTTTTTTTTTTTTTTTTTTGAGACGGAGTTTCGCTCTTGTTACCCAGGCTGGAGTGCGATGTCGCGATCTCGGCTCACCGCAACCTCCGCCTCCTGGGCTCAGGCAACTCTCCTGCCTCAGCCTCCTGAGTAGCTGGGATTACAGGCACGCGCCACCACGCCCAGCTAGTTTTTTGTATTTTTAGTAGAGACGGGGTTTCACCATGTTGACCAGGATGGTTTCGATCTCTCGACCTCGTGATCCACCCGCCTTGGCCTCCCAAAGTGCTGGGATTACAGGCTTGAGCCACCGTGCCCGGCCCTGCATCTTTCATTCAACAAATATTGAGTGTATACTATACGCCAGTGTGGGTCTCTGGATACAGCAGTGAATAAAACAGCAAACAAAGCTTACATGTTAAGGGATAGACAGTATGTATATGTTATTAGATGATAGGTACCACAGAAAAAAGAAAAAGTCGAAATTGAGCTGGAGGTGGAAGTGGGGCAGGTCATAGAGGGCCTAAGAATTTGAGCTTTTATGTTGAGTGAAATGAGGAACTACTGCAGGATGTTGAGCATGAAATGAGTTTTTTTTAATTTAAAAAGCTCAAACTGGCTGCTTTGTTGAGAACAGACTTCAGGGGAGCAAAGGTAGGGTGCGAGGGATTTATTAGGAGGTAATGGAACAATATAGGCCAGACATGTTGATGGTCTCGGCCCAGGTTTATAGCAGTAGCAGTAGTGAGGGTTGGCTGGATTCCGGATATATTACTCTTCCTAGTTAACACACTCTTGACACAGCTCTGCACCTTGCTTCTTTTCCTTTGATAAACCTTGGACAGCATTCAGGATCCCACATCAGTACATTGAGAGCCTGTCCATTCTTTTTTACAGCAGCCTAATCTCTATAGCACTCCAACTGGAGCTTATTTCTTATCCCTGGCAGCTCAGTATGTGTCTCTCTCTCTCTCTTTCTCTCTCTCTTTTTTTTTTTTTTTTTTTTTTTTTTGAGATAGACTCTCACTCTCTCAGCCAGGCTGGAGTACAGTGGTGTAATCTCAGCTCACTGAAACCTCTATCTCCCGGGTTTAAGCAATTTTCCTGCCTTAGCCTCCCGGGTAGCTGGGATTACAGGAGTGCACCACCATGGCCTTTCATATTTTTAGTAGAGATGAGTTTTCACCATGTTGGCAAGGCTAGTCTCAAACTCCTGACCTCAAGTGATCCGCCCACCTCGGCCTCCCAAAGTGCTGGGATTACAGGAGTGAGCCATCACACAAGGCCTCAGTGTATCTCTTTAGACATCCACAAAATGCAAGTCAGTGCTCTTGCGTGGTCCGTTCAGAGGCTCTTACCTGGTCCCAGTGATGGGGGTAGTCAGAATTTACCTTCGCATCTGAATCTGGGGCTCCTTCTTCCCCCTTATAGCCTGCACTCTGCTTGGCCAGCTCCAGCCCTTCCTTCCCTGACTCAGGCCCTGGCCTACTGCCATCTTTTCCTTTCTCAGGCTTCACTCCCACCAAGCTGGGCAGTGCCTGGAGATGGATCCTGGATTCTGAGGTCTGGGCCCAAGAGACTTTGTCACGGGAGGGGAAGTCTGGCAGAGACCACTGGGGAAGTGGTGGGTAGAGCGAGGCGGAGTCCAGGGCTGTGGCCTGTGGTGAGATGGGTGGTGGAGAGCAGGAGGGGGAATGAGGGGTACAGACTGCCCGTGGCCCAAGGAGAGTGTGAGAGTGGGAAAGAGGGCTTTGACAGCTGAAAAACTGAGAAGAGGAATGAAGAGAGTAACAAAAACTTCAGATACCATTCAGGGAGCACTTTTCACAATACACAGTGCTTTGAGCCTCACGAAAGTCCACTTCAGCAACTGCCCCTTGTTAACATGCAGGAAATTGGCCCAAAGAGGTGAAATGATTTGCCCAAGGACATCCACTGCACACTGTAGTAGTCATTTAGCGAACCCAGATTTTCAGATCTCAAATTCGAAGCTTCTCCTAATGAGCCTGCCTTCCTCTTCTGAGCTGGTGTTTGCATGGAGAAGGTGGCCTCAGTGGCTTGGAGGCAGAGCCGTGCAGGCAAAACCATGGAGGGTACCACCGCCCCACTCTGCACCTACTCCATGCCACTTCCCATCTCAGCCCCATGCTCCCTGATCTCAGGCCATTTGGAGGTTTCAGCTGTAACCCTTTCACCTAATCCACAGAGGCTGGAGATCTTTCCTGCCACATGGCTCCTCACTCTATGACTGTTCCCCCACAAGTATCTCTCCCCAACTAGGGCGACTCAGCTTTTGAGTGTCCAAACTACTCCCTCAGGAACTCAAGTGGAGTGAGGAGGGAGGTAGGTGAAGGAGACAGGGTGCCAAGACATTAGGTCAGTGCAAAAGTAATTGGGGTTTTTGCCATTAAAACCTCACCTACCTCTCGCTGCCCCAGTGCCCTCTGATGGCCACAGGAGGTAGGGGGAATGGATGGATTAGGAATGAAGATAGGAGGGACCAGCTGAATGTGACCCCAAA